GTATAAAACTACTCTATATCAATATAGCAATATGTTAGGGGTAACGCCTATCGATCCTCTATAAGAGAATGGTACATAGGCGGGCTAATTACATAAGAGACATTTTTAGCATTTCAATTCCTAGACATAAAAAATTTATATTAAAATTCTTATAGTTATGAAAGTAAAATATATAATCTTATTTATCCCAATGTCGTCATCTTTACCAACGGAAGATACAGCACGTGATAGCTCATGCATGAATGACACGAAAGCGATAGACAAAAGTAATTTCAATGGTGGTGGCGAATGGTAGCGTCGTAATTTCAATGGTGGTGGTGAACAGTGACACCATGGGTGGCTATTATGGTGGTGGTCGGTGACAACGATGTGATGATTAGCATAGCCGATATTGATTCAAACATCGATGATGAAGAGAAAGAGGAGGTAGAGTGATGAAGCATCGGTATAGGTAGTGCACGAGAGGAAGAGGAGGGAGGTGAGGCATCTGCATTAGTAGTGCACCACTCTGCCTCTTCTAATGTCGGTTTGCATTTGCATCGGCACTGGAAGAATAAGAAGAGGTAGGTGAGGCATCTGCGTCACCGACGACAAAGAGAGAGGAGGAAGAGGAGGTAGGTGAGGCCGAGTGGATACGATTGATCGATCTTGAAACACTAGCTAAATTGGCGATTCCCAATCCGAAGGCTAATTGCAATGGAGTAATCCATTGTTTCTTCATCATCTCACTCATCATATCCATCACTACCATCTTTCTGATCCTTTCCCCCACCACCATGACGCTAGAGGTGAGCGGGAAGGAGGATGAGACTTTGTTGTCTCTCCTGTCATCAAATCTATACTGTTTGGGCCTTCATTTTGTGTGGTGATCAATCCTTGTCATTTGATCGAATCCCCTCCGGTTGTGGGCAGAGTTGATTTAGAAGGCAACCACACCATTGTGATCAGGGCGTATGTGTCATTCGCATGTCAACTAAAGCTCGAGAGCTTGAAGTAGACATGCCTCTTAACTAAGCTTGCTCGCAACCTCTCCCTCTTTCTCGCTACCCATTACCCCTTCCTTAAATCCACCATGCCACTGGATGAAGTCGCCATCCAAGGATTTAAGTATGTCACTAATGTAGATATCTCACTTGCTTCCTCTTCCTTCTTTGACGTCGATGCAAAAGTAGAGCAACATTGGAGGAGGAAGATGAGGCAGAGTGGTGCGATGCCAACACAAATGCCTTACCTCCCTCCTCTTCCTCCTCGTTGTCGATGTTCGAATCAACATCGGCAAAGTTAACTACTATGTCGTTGTGGCTAATCACTACTACAACAGCCACCCACAATGCCACCATCTACCATTACCAATGAAATTATCTTTTTGCCCATCGTTTTTTATTTATTCATGCATGTGGTATCATGTGTTGTATCTTCCATCGATAAAGCTGATGACATTAAGGTAAATTGAGTTAAATATTTCACTTTCATAACTATAGGAATTATAATATAAATTTTTAAAATATAGGGATCGGGATGCTAAATAAGTCTAACTATATGGGGTAATATATAATTAGCCTGTTATCACTATTGAAATTATCTTTTTACCCATCATTTTCTTGTCATTTATGCACGTGTCGTCACGTGCTGTATCTTCTGTTAGTAACACCGATGACATTAGGGTAAATATGGTTGAATATGTCACTTTCATAGGGATATCAATATAAAATTTTGAAGTCTAAAGACAAGGTTATTAAGGAGGTCTAACTATAAGAGGTAATATATAATTAGCCCACCACCATCATTAAAATTAACTTTTTACCTATCGTTTTTGTGTCATTCATGTACATGCTGTCACATATTATATCTTCTATTGATAAAGCCGATGACATTAAGATAAATGAGATTAAATATTTCACTATCATAATTATAAGGACTTCAATATTAATTTTTTAAGTCTAGATATGAACACTAAAAAAGTCCAACTATATAGGGAAATCTATAATTAGTCCTATAATGGGCCTACTTTGAATAAGAAATAATTAAGCTTATTTAATATTATCTTACCACATTGTTAAGTTTGTCGTCTCGCATAAGTTGTACAATCCAATGTGTACGAGCTTGGCTTTATTGAGGCATAGTATTGCTTCGTCCTATATTCCTCAACTACCTGCTTCCCTTTTCTTTCTTCTAATCTCTCTTGTGACCTTATAATAAATCCAATATTTAATTTAAAATTTTTGATAATTGAGTTTGTTTATTAAGATAAAATAAATTTATTGTCTAACACAACTCTGTTCATCTTCCTCTTCCAGTGATTTTTTTATATTTTACCTAAAATAATATTTATTGTTGTGCATGTATATGTTGTCTCTCTAATTAGGTTTTATGATACCCTTTGTTTTCACTTTAATGAAAATATCTTTCCAGACCACCCTTGCTT